TCCTCTCATTCGTTCAGGCTGATCAACTTCCCGTTTTTCTGTGTTTTAGCGCTACATTTCTGGACCATTACCGAAATGCTTTGTTGCTTGTTTGAGTTTTGAATTTAATTGAGAGAAGGGTATTTAGGTCACTGATTAACGCTTAGCTGTAACCGCCGATGCAGTACTTATGACTTTGTCATCTAAATACGCCTTCTGGATCAAAGACAGGATACAAATTGAACGCCCCACTGGAGGAAACAACCGACACTATCCAAGTCTCGCATTAGTAAGCACACTCCATTCTGCGTTACTGTGCATTATCCTGTATGCAGTGCTTGGTGGAACTCTCGTGACCAAACCGAGAGTAAGTAATTAAGTAAGTCCTGATCTCTGATTCCAGATTTCAGTCACATTCACTTCACTGGCCGTATAGTCTTTGCTAAGTGGACTGGTCCCTAATCCAAGCCAACAGCTTCACATGTACTCTCCCGCACATTGAGGAAAGTTGTGCCAATATAAACCTGCATTCAAGAACCAGCGCCTGCATCCAAAAACGTTAGCTTCCTTATAGTCCCCCACAACGCCGATGCCCATCCCTACCCTTCATGTCGGTCAAATTTTGCCCTAATTTCTTCGTCAGCTAAACCACGGCTAGAGGACACAGTAAGGTAACTTCTTCATCCAGCTCAGAGGGTATGTTATTCGATGCTCGAGTGCACCTTCTCCACAGCCGCTTTGATAACAATCCGTTTGACTTGAGTTTCAATGTGTTGTACACCTCATTACGCGTTCTACCTCTCGACAACTACGAATTGGTTAACCATCAATTCTACCATCATGCATTATTAAGCCAAATGAACTCCTTAGGCAATACCACCATGTGAATGAAAAGTCGGTTGCTTCTAGATGATATGCATTTTAAGGCTTGAAATATTTGCAACGTCAATAGAAGTGAATGGCATCGTAGGCAGCGTGTTTGAATCCCACAATGACACCAACGGTAGCGTGTCGTCCAACCTATGCTTCAAAAGGCATGAAAATGCGTTCAACAATTATCCGATTGCCAAGTAGAGCTGTTTCTCCATGGTGTAGCTTAAAGTTTTCAGAACTGTTATACCTGCGAAGAGATACATCTGTGGTCATTATGAAATTCATCCAACTAGCTTCAGAGGAGACTTTATCAAACACAGAGAGCATGCCCGTAAGGAGCCTAAAAAGGCCGTAAACTGCTCATCGGTTTACCGACGAGCGGGTCAAAGACCGTCCATCGTGGCCATAAGTGTGAACATCGTCATTGTATCGACCAGTCACTGGTCCAAATGAAGATTTTTGGGTAGGTTCAGCGATTGTGAGAACCTTATGAGACAAAAAATGAACTTTTGATTGTGGTAGAGATCTTTAAGCTAACATGAAGAAGAATGGAGAAACCGTCGACGCCGATGACGTCAAATGATGAAGATGACACTAAAAACTTGCGAAATCCCTGTGCTGCATATCATTGTGCCACAAAAACTCGGTTCAGTGTCCTGTGGACTGTTCCTCAGTGTCAAAGGACACAGTGACTTAATTTTCAATAAAGAAACAAGATGTGACGGAAGATGTTCAGTAATGAAGTCATTCGGGAAACAAAAAAAAAACGCAACCTGAACGAGGTAGATGCTTTAATGTCAATGAACAGCCAATCAAATACATTGCAAATCTGTTTGCCATTACCTACATCTGCTTAAAGCGGGTTCATTACCCAGCCTCATTCGCTTTCGCACTACTTTTCTTTAGTGGAATGACTTCATCTTTTTTGCGCATACAATGAAATAAAAACAGTTCATTCATCGACGAAGATTAAATTTATTGCAGTAACTAGATAAATGTGTGAAATGGCAAAGAAAATGACACGGAAATGGCGATCCACATCCAAAAGCTGTTTTCTAGAGCGACCCTAGGAAACTACTTTTTCTAGCATTTACCACAGTCGATCCGGACAGTCGACCCTATTATGCCATTCGTGCCTCCCCAACATAGTCGTGAAATTCCACAAATGTGGGTTTTAAAAGTACATGGATGGAATGGAGGACTGTAAACCTGTGGAAACTGCAGGGACGATGTCATGAAATGCCTCAACATTCCCTCCCAAAATTGAAATGTATCTTGCTACTTACATTTGTCAGCAGAACATTAAGCAGAGAAGACTACAACAATAGTTTAACTTCAGTAAAGATGTAAAATAATGGCTCTTCCCTTTTTGTAGGCATCAAATCCTCCTGAGAGCTCCATTCTGATTTTAGCCTTCATAAGTTTCCTTCACATTCCACAAGGAGAATTTCGTACACACCACTAAATCTTTAATGGCGTCTTTATCATTCGACACTTGTTTATGTGACACCGATCTGTGCTTTGTTTAGGTTACCCACATGTCGTCAACATGTCCCACTCTCACCTGAATTGGTGACAAACCTGGGGCTGATTTCAACACAAATTGTTAAAGTACACCCTTTTATTACTTGAATGGGAAGATGAAGAGAAACCAAAATAAGCTAAACCTCAGACTGCAGTTGAACAGTGATTTTGGAGGACGTAAAGGCACATATCGTATCTTAGGTTAGACCGCCATTGTACTCCAAAAATCTACGGGCCCAACGCGATCAACATCACCGCGCGTGACCAAAACGTAATCTCATCGATGGGTAACCTCTACAGGGTCGCACGGTCGAAGCGAGGTCATGATCTGGTCACAACCCTTTGGCGCATTAGACCGCCTAAACTACACCAAAGACTCCCTCCATCGCATTACGAGGCGAGCTCTGCGTTACCCATATCGCATCAGAACTTATCCACCATGTAGCCCGGTTCCATGTTCTCCTCCCTTCGGCGTGATGCACGTTTAGGTCACTGGGAATAAATCGTGGTTGTCAATCCAAACAACGTGTCAAGTAACAGCTACCAAAACTTTTGATTTTAACTTACCTGTTTTGTGAAACACGTTTAACTCGGTCAAACCAATGACACATGATGTGCCTACCATAGCAACGACGGATTCAGTCAGTATTAGATTTCACACTTTTTTGTCTCTCCTGGGTCCTGACACCTACCACAACCATGAAATTCCCTTAAAAATTCTCTAAACGGAGTAAAAAATCTCATCCGTTTGTATACAAACAAGCAATAAAAAATAGCAAAGATAAATATTTATTCCTGAGCCACCTAGATAGTCTTAATAGATGTTCGGACCAAACGGGGACTTAGGAGCTAACACTCACAAATCAAAGGACCAACACTTACAACTCGTGAGCTAGGCGGAGGTTATAAAAAGTCTAACCATCTACAAGAAAATCATCCAATCACGAAGCGAGAACGCACAGCAATGCTAGCTGTGGTGGTTCTAGACTCATCAGTCGCGCTTAACCGTCAAGTTGTAATCAGCACTTCAACTCGCTTTGGAACAATTCAGGTAAACTAACGAATCGGTCCAACCGATAAGCAGATAAGTAGGGGAAGAAAGGTGAATAAAGCTTTCATTGGTTTTACCTAATTCTCAATTACAAGATGCATGAATTATGCCGCTTTATTGGTTCAACACAAAACCTTGCAATATGAAAAGGTATAAGAAACATGGAGTTATAATTTGGGGGTTCGACCCAATCATGCAGGCGTGATAATGGCATGGATAAGATTGAAATTTTAATGCTACACTCCTTGTGGCCAGAATCGACGACGACACATTTCCACTTGACCACAATGTACTGCGTTTGCGTAGGTCTGACACACAAAAGCTGAGCCGAGACGACATCGAGGATCGGATGGAGCCTCTGTAGTTGGTGGCATTGTTGATGTAGGCGTCATACTCATTGCCTCACAGTACTCACCCATTCCACAAATTTTTATCATTCTTGGATCCGAACAGAAGCTTAGAGGACGGTCTTTGCACATTTCATGACGCATTTCACTTCCAACGCTGTCCGGTGCGGTGTACTGACGACATTGCTCCAGAATAGAGCGTCCACAGTATCGCAATGATGGGGAAACACAGAGCTCACGAAGTGGACGAGAGCAATCAACGAGAGCAAATCCGGGGACTTTTTCGGCCCGGGACGGCGGGTAATCAGCCTGCCAAACGTGTTGCTGGCAATAGGAAGTCACACCACAACGAGCTGCAATGTCGGCATCGCGACAGGTGACTGAGGGTCCCCACAGGCAGGGATCGTCGCCAATAAGGCTTTGAAGGGGGGCTTTAGAGTTTGATGGTTCTAAGGAGTCGTTGCAGAGTTTATTTTCCTATGTGATAGACAAATCCAGTTAGAATATGTAAGATCATTCTCTTCAATTTCATGCTTAAAGGTACCACCAATTGACAAGTGTCTTGATGTCCCGTACGCGATAAAAGCCTTTCAAAACTCCTGCGAATGAATGCTACAACCTCTGTTTCGGTGTATCTCAATCCACTTTTATGGTCAGCTAGAAACTATAAAACTTGCTGATTCATTACCTTGCAAAAGGAGTCGAGGTTGCTGAAAGACAAACGTCCCGGGACCTTGAGCGAACGAATACTCTGACACTGCAAAACAGAGAGGAGCCGAATGGTAGTAGAAGAGAAATCGAAAAGAAAATCAAAGGATGATGTAAACATACTCGGATTTTTTCCACCGGATTGACATAGATGGAGCAGTCAAGAGCAAAAGTACCATAGGTGAGACGTTGGGTGAGGAGATTTCGACACAAACGACAAGCGTCAGAGGGATCCAACAGCGGGAGCTTGTATTCCGAACAGAAGGGACCAAAACCACATAGACGCATCAACCGCTCATTGGAACAGCGTTCCTCGAGAGTAGAAAGTTTACTGCAGTCGTATCTCCCATAAAATACGGAAAAAAGTGGAAGGATTTCACCATATGGAAAGGCGTAATAAAGACGACTAGTGAATTGTTCTTAAATAATGACATACTTCCGAACAACTGGTGGACGTGAATTCGGGTCCGAGGCAGTCGGACGCTGCCAGATGAACTCACTGCAAAAGGCCTCCTGGGCGCAGAGTTTCGCAGTGTACCGATCACGACACCAAGCTGAGGGACCGCCGGCGCAAAAACGCTTTGTGCTGGAAGCCGACAGACACAGGCCTAATTCCTGCAATTACATAATCACCTATTTCAAATTCCAGTCTCCATACCCATCTCTTTTCTCGTATTTTAAGCTTCCTACTGCAAAATAGCGTGGAATAACAAGAATAGTCCTGATAGAAACGTAACTAGTCAGAAAAAGGAGACCACGAAATAAAAACTCACTTGGCAGATTTCTTTGGAGGGCAGATTCTTCACCAACAGATCAATCAGTGTTTGGGTGTAGGCTTTAACGTACTCGCGACACTGAAAGACATATGACCAGTCGATTGGCGGTGAAAGGTAGTCAAGTGCTTGACTTTCAAGGACAACTTACGGTGGCCCTCAGACTTTCACGAGGAAAGTAATTGCAGACACTCTCCAGAACCTTTTCAATCTGATCAGCTGTAGCATCATCCTCAATTTTGGTGTAGATAAAATCTATTATCTCCGTACAGATTTCACACTTTCCACCTTTCTGTGCCTCAGGAGACATAGTGTGATAGCAAATTGATAGATCCTGACAAAATTAAGAGTTTAAAGTTGTAGTTAGGTGATATAACGTGATGAGTTTGAATTCAAAGTGAAAACCCACCTCACAAATCTCCCTTGGTGGGTATTTTTGCATGACAAGATCGACGATCGCAGCCGTGTTCTGTTCGACCCAAGTTCGGCACTAGGAGAAGGTCACAAGGAAACACAGTAAGCCATAGCTGACACTAATTAAAGGTGAATGGCTTTGAATACTTGTGCTATTACATCCCTCTGTGATGAGAGAGGTCTCACCTCGTAACAATCCCTACGAGTGGAGGCTCATGAAAGTCATTACCACTCTCTTGGCGTGGACTTCCATCAAACTTCCACCTTAACGAAATCTGTCAAAATTTATGGTGACCAAAGCAAGTGACTGTCAAAATGTGATTAGCGAATTTAAGATAGACAAGATACCGTATTGACGTAGGATGAGGGTACGTATTTGCACAGGTGTTCTAAGAGATCCTCGATGCTCTCCACAGTGACATTGTCAAGCAGCTTGGAGTAGAGCTCGGTAAAGACAACCTCGCAGATGGCACAGCCATCCTTCACACTCGACTCAGCGACTACGAGTCGAGAACAGAAACCCAGCTTCTATAGAGAGGAAAAAAGGGGAAGTATGACCGATTATTTAACAGTAGGAAAATGTATCTTAACAATTGAAACCCACCAGACAGACTTCTATGGGTGGCAAACCACTCACAAGGAGGTCAATGACTTGGGAGGAGTATTTATCCACCAGTTGTGTACACTTTAAAAAAATAAGATCTTTTAAGCATTCCTTTGGAAGTGAAAAATGACAATGGGATTAAACGAACGATTTCAGCTGAGTAAGCCCCAAAAAACGATGAAGGAATGATTAACTAAAGGGCTCGCTTCAACAAAGGGAGAAATTGTGGGCGCAAGATGAAAGACATACCTGGTTCTTAACGTAGGGGAGATAGTTACACGCTGTCTCCAACGCTTTGATAATATCCTCCTTGGTGGCGTTGGCCTCTAGATTCTCGTAAACGGTTTCCACAATCACTTCGCACAATTTGCACTCCGATTTCTGCATCCAAAACAATCGGAAAAAAGGATTAATACCGTTGATTCGACAGAGTATCTACCACAGATTTCTGAGGAAGTTTGTCCACCTAAAGAGAGACTTAGAAACGTCCTCTCTACCAGCATCGCGCATTTAACGTGCTTCCCAGCAGTTCGTGATAAACAGTTATACAAAATTACATCACTGAGAGCCCGGAACAATGGATCCTACTTTGTTTATTTGATGTAAGGTGGCGGCCATTCGAACATGGTTTTCCTATCAAGCACTGAATATTGTAAGCACAAGAGTAAACAAACCCGAACTAGGCATAAACAGTGACTGTCAAATCGATGTCCAACATAAACAGAGGCTTCAAACCATTCGAACATCCGAAAAGGGAGCCTACCCCATTAACAGTTGAACTTGTCATCACTGCGTTACAGGCGCCAAAGTTGAGGCAAATAAGCTTGGGAGCGGTGCCTGCCATTAACTCTCGAATGATTAAATCTGAGTATGCGTCAACGAAGTTAATGCATGCTTTTCGGGCATCTGACGGCAACATGTGGCAAGCCTGAAATACAAAAGAAAGATAAAATAAAGATGAGGATCGCACTGGGTGCGTGAGAAGGTTTAATATTACCTCTTCAAGTGCCCAAATGATTGCAGCCTCACTCTTGTTGTTGAGAACCAGGTCGATCACCTTTTTAAATAACATCTCACAAATCGGACAAACAAAGGGAATGGAAACATTGGAACTCTGTGAGGCAAAAGCTTTGGCAGCTTTTTCAGGCGATGATACGCCATTCGTGCATTGCTTAAAGAAATAGCAGAGATCTGTGATATTAACATTCGAGGCGTTGTCAATCATAGCATCCACCTCCTTGGAAACAGCCATTTCACACTGTAATTTAGGTTCTCGATATTAGCATGACCTACCATGGCCTTAAAGTAGCCAAATGATTCGCAGAGAGACTTCTTAACCGCCTGCTTCAATGCTTGATCGAAGTCGGGATCCTTGGTTTCATCACGGATACGAGAGAATACATTTTTGCATTCAGCACAAGCATCGGAGGCAAGAAAAGTTCCAGGATAACTAAGACGGGAGTGAAAAAATTCAAATCCAACGGAATCGGGCCTTTTGATCCAAGAATAAGCTTCTTCTTCCAAACTTCTTTCCGATTTCTTAAAGTTGTGAAATAATTGTACGAATATTACCGTCATCGCAGCCACTTCGGAGGGACAAAGTCCGAAGAGAGCACAAATTGGACCAGGGTCCTAAAAAAGATTTCAGAAGAATAAAGCAAACTACCAGCTCATTGCCCGCTAGATCCATAAGAGCACCCACGTAAGCATCGATTGTGCGCTTGCAGATGTCAACCACTTGAAGAGGAAGATCATAGCAAATTGCCTTCTTTAAGTAGCCAGCGATGGCAACTTTTGTGTCGTTATCTTGCAGAAGAGCACGCATATCAATTATAATTTTTTTGCAGTCATCACAAGTGGATTTGACATCAAATCTTAAGGTCTAAAAATGTGGAGTATATATTAAAGGATTGCACCTACTGGTAGAACGAAAGAAAGACCGCTACAACTATTGAGAAGAGCGCAAACAAGAGAACTGTTTCCCTAAAAAAAGTTATTGACCAAATAAAAGAGCTACCACTTCTGAAATCAACTGCTTCAACTCAACGTCGCTAATGCCCTGGATTCCCTTTAACACCATAACCGCAAAACCCATAAACCCACTTCATATTCCGATGTTGCTGATAGAAGGGTAGTATAAGCTCCAGAAGCCACAAGTTTCTTACAGTTCCTGCATTCAATAGATTCAATGTTCTGTTGAAAAATAGTGGCATGAAGCCACAGTCTTGTGCACTTTTCCAGCATCCCATGTCTTTTAGCTTCCACGTACGATCTACATATTACACCTTCAGCTGCATCTCCGACACCAATCTTTTCACTGGATGTTGTGCATAGCACGCACAATAAAATGCACAAGCACACGAAGACCATCTCTCTACAAATATGCTGAACCCACACTACTGGTGACCTTCACCTCAGCAACAATGGTTAACTTAAACATGATGCAATATCTGCGATTTTAGTTGACTCCGCATTATATGTTTACCACAATCTTTAGTTTGCATTGTTAGGAAGTAAGGACTCTAAAGGATGATAAACCGAGTTACTGGGAGTAGAGTGTTTGATTTGACCTTCATAGGAGAGAGGCGGAAACAAAATATTGGAAAGCGAACTCCGTACGTGAGGACTGTAATGCTCTGCTTATGCGACTATCTGACGTTTGGCGGTCACTTTAGGACTTGTCTGGGCCCTGTACACGT